ATGGTCATCTCCTGGAATTATTACCAACAATCCATCAGGAAACGTTTTCTCTCTCTCTTTCTCTCTCTCTCTCTCTTAAAAATTAATGGTGGTTTGGGTGCCCCTTTTGAAATTTGTAGAGGTATTAGACAAGGGTGTTCATTATCTGGTATGCTTTATTCTTTAGCAATTGAACCCATTTTAAATAAAATAAGAACTAAATTGCATCGCATAGTCTTACCAAATTGTAAAAATAACCTCACATTGTCAGCTTTTGCTGATGATGTGATTGTTATGGCTGGAAATCAAACTGACATTTAAGTATTAATAAAGTTACTTTCAATTTTTAAAGAATTGTCTTCTGCAAAGGTAAATTGGAGGAAAAGTGAGGCAATATTGCTGGGAAACTGGAAGGGGGGGAAACCGGTTTTACCAGAAGGCTTAGAATGGAAAAAATCAGGTCTCAAATATTTAGGTGTTTTTTTAGGTGATGAACTAACAGTACAAAAAAATTTGGGAAGGAGTATTTGAAGGAATTAAAGGTAGGCTTGAGAAATGGAAATGTTTATCACCAAAAATGTCATTCAGAGGCCGCATCTTAATAATCAACAATTTGGTTGCATCCTCATTATGGCAAAAACTTACTTGTGTTGATCCTCCCATTTACCTTTTAACTAAAATACAATCTGTTTTAGTGAATTTTTTCTGGGACAAACTACACTGGATTCCACAAAGTGTTTTATTCTTGCCTAAAGAGGAGGGTGGGCAAGGGTTAATTCATTTGCAAAGTAGGTTGACAACTTTTAGGTTGCAACATATCCAAAGACTTTTAAATGGTTCTGTTGAATATAAGTGGTGTGCTATTGCTTTTATAATTTTACACAAGCTTGGAAATCTTGGTTTTAGACCCTAAAAAATTGGACACTTCTGTTTTACCAATCTTCTACAAGAACATTTTTAAAGTGTGGAGTCTTTTTGTCTTTAAACGAACAATGGATATACTGTCACTTCATTGGCTTCTAGAAGAACCTTTAATTCTTGGAGCACGCTTTGACATATCTTCAGAAGGAATATACCCTGGTCTTAACAAGGCACTTATAAACAATAATGTCATCAAGCTGCTACATTTACTTGAATTGACTGATTGTGATTTTAAGCACTCTGAAGAAGTTGTTAAGCGTTTGGGTTTCAGGTCTGCTCGCCTAATTGAACAGGCAATTCTGAGATGGAGAACTGTCCTGAAACCGGCAGAATGGTCGCTGTTGTCCAGTTTTTGGGATGGAAAAAGCATCCAAAATCCAATAGACTCTTTCCCACTTTGATATATTTCGGTTAATACAGAGAATTTTTCTGGTGTCCTTTTGGAATCTGTAAATTCAGTGTGTGTAAATGTTTTATCTTGTACTGGAAAAGTTTTGTATAAGTTTTGTGTGATCAACTTAAATAAGAAAATGTTAGACAAAAAGAGTGACACTCCATGGCGTGATTTTTGTTAAATGAAGTAAAACCTCAATGGAGAGCACTGTACAAACCACCATTAATGAAAAAAGGTGATGATTTGCAATGGAGAATCCTTCATGGGGCTATTGCTGTAAACTCCTGAAATTAGTCCGATATGTCCTTTTTGCAATGAAAGAGAAACCATTTTTCATGTCTTTGTGAAATGTGTTAGATTGGGGCCATTGTTTAAGTTATTGCAAAGTTTTTTTTTTGTTAGATGTTGTGAGACTTTCTCGGTTGAAACATTCATCTTCGGTTTTAAATATGTAAGGAGTAAGAGATTTTCTTGTCAATTATTGAACTTAATACTAGGACAAGCAAAAATGGCTGTGTATGTGAGCAGAAGGAGGAAAATTGAAAATAACACAACGTAATGTAGTTATTGTTTTTTCAAGCATGATACAAGCAAGAGTCTTAACTGATTTTAGTTACTATATACAAATGGATGATTTGGAAACTTTCGAAAATATTTGATGCTATAATAATGCTTTGTGTTGCGTACATGAAAACTATGTTGTTTTTACACTCATTTGAAATGTATAGTTTTTCTTTGATGTAAATTGAATTGACTAATTTATAGTAATACTGTGTCTGTTTTAATGTAATAAAGTTTTTGTAAAAATCAAATCTCTCTCTCTCTCTCTTCTCTTTCTCTCTCTCTGTTTAAAACTGTTGGCAAAGCAGTCAACAAAAATTATTCCTCCACACCCCATAAGATGGCATAGGGCAGCTGGATTAGTCCAAAAGGGCATAGTACTTTTTTGCGGTTGGGTCTGTTTTAGTTCGGATCATGTTCTCAACACAAACTAACTCCTTTAAGGTTTGTTTTTTGGTCTGCTTTTGGTGTGCACTCGAGTGCGATTACTACATTCACACCTGCCCAAACGAACCGCAGCAAGAGGGAAAACGAACTCTAGTGCGATACAACCAGACTAAATATGGCAGGTGAGAAACACCCTAGGTTTATAATCAGAAAAAGGTGGAAAGTTACTCAATTTTCCCAAACACTTTCATGTTTCAGGTGAAATGAATGAAATCAGCCTCACATTCAAAGGCATTTAAGGAGACCTTTAAACTTTAACAAGAACTGTAAGAACCATTTTTAACAATTGTTTTTTAAATAAAATCTGACTCACACTAAGAAAATAAAGAGTTTAGATGCAAAAACCTCTAAGTGCCATCAGAATTGTTTGCCTACATTGAGCATTTGTCTTAGCCTCTTGTGTTTATGTTCAGTTATTTCATGTTAAAAAAATGAAAATAATTATTTTTTTGTCATAATGCATCTGAACTCTTCAAATGTAAATTGTATTTACTTAAATGTATTTAAAGTTGTAAATATATTTCAATTTGCTATCACCTCATTTTATTTTATGCATGACTCATACACAAAAAGGTCAACTGTGGTTAAAATGCTGTTGTTGTTGTTGTTGTTTGTTGTTTTAAAGAAAAATTAACAAGAAAAACACAGATTTCCAATCATTTGTCCAAAAATCCATATAATCAAGATGAATGTTATTTAAACCAAATGGGAAAAAACACCCAATCTGTCACCAACACCCTGAAAATGAACAGGTGCAGCTGAAAAAAAGACATGTTAGTACAGACAGAAAGATGAGCCTATAGAAATACTCGAGAAGGGTCCACTCAGCACCCTGCTGATAGTCCCCATCCCGTCTGCTGAGGTCAAATAAAACCTCATCAGCGAAGGGGGACAGAGGTCAGAGGTCAAGGGAACCAAAACACATGCCAAGAGTAGCTAACAGGGATCGTGACCTGTTTATAGTCTCCACTCACAACCCTTCGGCCTTGTTTGACACTGTGGACATCTACTACGTCTTCATAATGTCTTGTGGGGGGCATTTAAAAGCATATTTTACTCATTAACTGGTGTCATTAGCTGACTAATTTTACGACAGATGTGGTTTTCTCTGAAATTTAAAGAACATTGGTTCCTAAAAGCCTTTGGACACAAATCTCTTTTTCTTTTTTTTTTTTTTGGTGTTCAAAATTATGATAAAAAACAATTTATTAGATGTTGGTTGGTTTGTTACTCTTACGCTCACCAGTGCATCATTCCTTCAATTAATATAATATGGTAATAGTAATACTAATATAGTAAAAGTAGTAAGTTGTATTTTAAGAAATTAATGTGAAGGAAAAACTTTTTCAACATCATTACTTCAGTCTAGTCTACACATGCTCCATCAGAAATAATTGAAAGTTTATGGTTTGTTTGTGTGCACTAGTTCTCATTTCCCTTTGTGGAATGGACATTCCAGACTGCTGTCCCATGCAGGTACGGAAAGATACATCCCCTTGATGTCAGCTTGGTATGTCCCAGGCTTTAAGGCTCATCCACACAGAATATCTTTTTCTATTGTAATGCATTACTTTTCCATTGTTTTTCTATGTAAATGAGCTTGACAGATGTGCATGACTGTTATCCTCATGCCTCTCATCTTTTGAAGTGGCTCACTTTTTAGATGAAGTGTCAATTCAAAAGAACAACTTTTACACGCAGCGCCTCTCATCAGTGTTAGTTCCAAAGCAGTGACCCCTTATAACCACTTTACATATCCAAGGCTACAGAAGTCTGATGTCAGAATATACATTTCATATTCCCCAGCATTGCTTATGTGGAGGTAAGAATATTGTGTTTATATAAAAAAAAAAAAAAAAAGGGAAGATAAAAGATTTTGGTTCTAAACCAGCACTTACATTGCTTGGTTTAAAAGGGGTGTATATTGTCTTACACTAAAAAAAATGGACATGAGCTTAATGTTTTTTGGGGGATGCAATATATTGGCCAGTGTGGATATAAAAATGCATAGCACATTATTTTTAATACCACTCATTGCACAGCGTCAGTTATCTCTCTGTGTCAGCGGAAGCACAGATGTGACTCTTGGCAGGTCCTTTGCAGCTATTTCTGAGGCTCTGTCACTAAACTTTAGCATTTGTCAATAGCATATGTTTCTCAATATGCTTTATACCTCAATCACATTGTCAAAAAAAAAAAAAGTTATTTAAAGCACAATTACATGTTTTAGCATTATTATTTTTTACACTATTTCACTTGGATGGTTAATTAAACTTTTATTGAAGACGAAAGTTCTAAACGTGTTATTGGTCAAATCTGGCATTGGTCAACACATTTGTGTTAATTTAGCTATTTTTATCAGCAGTGATGTTTGTTTATTTTTATTGTCTTCATTTATAAGTAAAAATGTGACTTTCAGCTAACCATTCCTAATGATAATTTTAGGGGGGGAAAAAAAACTAAAATGTATTACGTATATTATTATGTAGTTCAGCAGATGATTGTTTTCTGGTGTGAATGACCTTCTGCCACTTTTCCAAAAGATCAACTAGAAGTAACTATTTGTTGCTTCTGCAACTGGGATTGATGGCAAGACTTTTGTCAGGTAGTGTACTACTGGAAAAAAGTCAATTCTAAGAATTTATATATATTTTTTGCATTTCATAAATACATATGATATGTAAATGCAATGTGATACCTTAAAAGCTGCTCCTCCATGGATGATTGACTTAATAAAGATGCCCAGGTCCTCGCCAGTCTCGCGGGACTTATTACCCTTCAGACTGACCCCTAACCCTGCGGAGCCAGAGTCATTGAGAGGGACCTCAAACATCAGCTGCTCCTTCCCTTCCTCTGACAGCAGCAAGCGGGCCTGCTCCTCTTTCTGCAGGGAAAACAACAATGACGGAGGAGAATGAGACGAGGGAGAAGACAGGTCATTCCATTTCAACATAAAAAGCCCACTATTTTAGCAGAGAATAGCTCAACCTTTTCATGCCTCTTTTCTGCCTGTGATGGCAATGGGGTCATTTAGAAACATAATCCATTCTCCATTATGGAGTCCAGCGCTCAGCTCCCCGCTGCATTCTCCCTCCCGCTTTCCCCATTTCCTTTCTTTCCTCTTTGTCTGCTTTCTCTCTATCTCTCTCCATAATGATGCTAAAATTACCTGTACATCTCTTCAGCAGAAGTTTGTTTTAAAATGACTGTTAATATGAAGGAGGAAGGGGGAGGGGGGGTGACATTATATCTGTGTGGTAAAAAATAATTTCTGTCGCCACGGGAACAGGCTTTCTTTGCAGGAAAAGAATGAAAGAGAGCAAATGAAGAAGAAAATGGGTTTAAAAAGGTCTGAAAGAAGTTTGTTTTTGATCTATATAATGGCATAGTGTCTGCTAGAAAGATATAATGAGAGAGACATGTTGACGCCAAAGTGTCTAACAGAGTTTTAATGTTACACGTGAAACATCCTACTTTCTTAATAAGCACGTTTGATGGAACATATCTTGAACAAGATTTCCCTTGCCCTTTTTATATATAACAGTTTGATGTACCATGTAATCATACTCTTAATGGTCACAACACAAAGCTCAATCCCCTGTCTTAAAAGACCATTTACAGCAACTATAGGCTGTGCAAATCTCAGCTTTCCTGTTTTCTCCTGTAGGCTTGAAAAGGGTTGCACCAACTAAACAATACTGGTCCTCACTGTGCTATCACAACAGTGCTGACCTGCTGTGGGATAGACTCTACAAGAACCCTGATGGTGTCCTCTGGGTTCTGCCACCAAGAAATTAGCAGAAGATGCTTCAAGTCATGTTGTGAGGTAAGGCCATTCTGGTTTGAATTTTTAGGTCTATTAAATCTGCAAATGCTAAATTGATACAAATCTGGGGAATTTGAAGTATAGGGCAACACCTTGAACTATTTGTCGTGTACTTCAAACTGAACTGAACTTAATTTCTTACCTTACCTTAACTTACCTTACTTCAATTCAACTAATAAATCCTGCAAATGCTCAACTGATACAGATATGGGGAATTTTGAGTCCAGGCCAACACCTTGAATTCTTCATGTAATTCAAACTGAACTGAACTTAATTTCTTACCTTACCTCAACTTAACTCAACTCAACTCAACAAGACTAATGAACTAAACTTAACATCTTACCTTATCTTATTTTACCTTACATTAACCTAAACTCAACTCGACTAATAAATCAAATTCTTAAACTCAATTAATAAATCTTGCAGGTGCTAAAATTAAACAGATATGGGGAATTTGAAGTCCAGGGAAGCACCTTGAACTCTTCTTAATGTACTTCAAACTGAACTGAACTTAATTTCTTACCTTACCTTAACTCAACTAATAAATCTTACAAATGCTCACCTAAATATACAGATCTGGGGAATTTGGAGTCCAGGGCAACACCTTAAACTCTATGTACTTTAAACTGAACTGTACTTAATTTCCTACCTTACCTTACCTCAACTCACTTTATTGTGCCCAATGGGAAAATTTGTCTTGGACCTTAGAGCCACATTTGCATACACTGAACAAAACAGACAACGCAAATCAACATAAACATTCAAGAAGAAAACATTTATTTAAGTCTACTTGGTAAAAAGATTTATTAAAACGATTGATTCTGCACACAGTTAGCCTGTGTTGTCTACCAAAAGGTAGTAACTCGTACTCACAAAATAAATTACCTGAGGGGTCAGCTAATATTTTATTAGCTTCATCGAGAACTAATTGCTAATAAAAAGATTATAAAGACCGATAAAGAGTCTCTTTTCCCTGTGATTCTTATGGCTGTCTTTACCAAATGTCCAAGCTTGGCTTTAAATTGAATTGTAACATTTCCATTTCCATACCAACCAGTAAATATATAGCATATTATACTTTCAATAAAAGCTTTGTGAAATAATTCTTGAACAATATGCGCAGTGTGGTAGGGTGCATTATCCTTCTGAAAAAGTCCACTTTGAACATGGAACATCAATGACATAAATGAGTGTATACTTGTTCAAAATGTTTAGGTAGGCGTCACATGTCAAAATTACATCCACCAGAAGGATCTAGAATTTCCCAGCATCACACAACCACTTTCGAAAGTGCATAAGGGTCATCAAAATAACTCTACAGAAAAATTAGTCTGCATTAACCATTATTAATGTTTTTGTGGCCCATGCCACCAGACAAGATAGCCTCCAATGCCCTTACTCTCAGTCTTGGGTTTGTGGTTTGCCCTCCTCTCACCACTGCTGACCAATCCACAACCCTTGCCTTTTCAGAGAAATTCTGACCCATTCATTTTGTCACTACAGTTGGGCTCTCATCAAAGTCCCTCAAATATATTTCCCTGTCCATTTTGTCTGCATGCAGGACATCAATTGCAAGAACTAATTGTTTCTTTTTTTTTTAATCTATGCAGACTCTGACACCGTTTAAATAGTAATTTTTATGCCTCATACACAACATGTTTAAACAAAAAAAGGGGAATTTATTTAAGCATTTTGCCTACTCGTTTTACATGACAACAACACTGAAAACACATAAATCTGAAAATGGGTTACAAAGTGGACGTTTTTAAAGATGCAGTCAAGTCCAGTCTTTGAAAACGATGATGTTGTTCATGTGCACAGTACATGTTTACTAAGGTGTAGATTGAAGACAAGCTTTAGCAAACACACAACAGTGGCAGAATATGCAGTAGTGTTGCTGTTGCTCCAGTGTAAGCAAACGCTTCATTAGCAAAGTGTGAATTTACTTCACATTACAACAGCGACGATGCATCCCACAGAAAGCAAATTCTATATACACACCAGAGTGGCATACAACATTTTTGGCTGTTTTTGCAGATGTGTAAACATGGATAATTTGGAAAACATTGTTGTGAAAATATGAAACTTTTAACCTTATTTTAACATTTGCTTTTTTTGGCTGCACCATTGTCATGTAAAACTATCCTTAATATGTGACACTGTAAGAAGATGATATTCATCTCTCCTGTGACTAGTCATAATGTTTACCTTATTAATCTACAGTATAAAGCAAATCATAAATGCTTGATTACCTACAGATATACAAAGCACCTGCAATCAACTCTCCAACAATACAGTATTTGAAAAAAAGTATATGAAAAGCAGTACACCAAAAGTCTGTCCAAACTCATAGTATAATAATAGTATAGTAATAGTATAGTAATAGTATAGTATAGTTTAGCATAGCATAGTATAGTATAAATACAGTGATGCTGGTTTAATACATGACAAAAAAATATATAATCCCTTTAAATTTCATTCATATTAACCATGCTCATACATAGTACATGTTATACAGAATAATATGCTTTTGAACAGGTAGGAGGTTTCATTCATTTATTTTCCTTTCGGCTTAGTCCCTTTATTAACCTGGGGTCGCCCCAGCAGAATGAACCGCCAACTTATCCAGCACGTTTTTACGCAGCAAATGCCCTTCCAGCTGCAACTCATCTCTGGGAAACAGGTATGAGGTTTGTTCAAATTTAAATGCAACTACTCTGACAGTGGATGATTTTGGACACACTGCCTAATTAAAGGTCATTGAAAAATGGTCATATAGAACTAAATAAGCCATGCAAAAAGGCTTCAGGGAACAAAAATCAAATGATATGAAGGAATAGAAAAATTGTCCCTCGTGCCACATGATAAAAATGTGATTCACAACCAGTAGAGTCAAACAAATCCATAGACCTGACAGGAGCCACAAGGATTGAAAATATTATGAAATATTATTACAGGAATGAACAGGACTGAGAAGACCGGCTAAGACGGAGTATGTGTGGGTCAGCAAGGACTGGTTTATCTCTGTTTACTGTGGGATTGTGGGTTTTGAAAGTATTAGTGTCATGCACTCACAAACACGCGATCGACTCAGCAACTCTGAGAAATTCTGTGAAGACTGAAAATACCGCTGACTGCATGTCATGGGGAGGACAGGAAAAAGTGAGGGGTTTAAGGAATTTAACCCTGAGCAGATGCCCTAAATGCCCTCAAAATAACTTCAAAATGCCAGAGTGACCGACTCGCACGTGTCAGAACTGTTTAAAGACCGTCAACAAACGATAAGCTAATTATTTATTCATTTACCAAAGCCATTTTCAACTGACCTCCATAGACATGTGAACTTTATCAGACTAGCCAACCTGCCATTTGTTCATCTACAGATGTGTTTGAGTAGCTAAACCCAAATGAAAGACGCCAGCCATGTGAGGTTCTGAATGAAGACAAAGCTCTGGGATCACATCGAGTCTATCAGCTGGGGAAATCACAGGGCTAAAGCCCGCTGTGTGTACAGCTAGCAGCACGTCTGTATGCTAACCGTGGTGATATTTCACAACCGAGCCCCCTGCCAAGACCTTGTTCTGATTCAAAATGCCACATCACATTTCCTTTAGCCATATTCCCGGAGTTTATCAGTCAGCATGTTCCCCTGAATCAAACATATGGTTTGTGATGTGATTTTACATTTTTTCTGTCGCACATTACAAAAGTTTATATAATTAGTATTGTCATGATTTACAATGCAGTAAATGGTCAAACATTTATTTTTCTTCATTTGATCTATTGATATAAAAACTGCTGTATTACAAATATAGACCAATCTCAAAACAGTCTTATGGAGTGATCTCAAGCATAGTTCAAAAAATTACAACTATTATTTATACAGTAAATAATTGTTTTCATCTACATATCTAAAAACATAGCATATACATTTTGCCACTGAAAACCATGTTCTCTGGTGTGAAGCTTTATGTTAATTTTAAAACGGGCAATTCCAGATTGAAATGAAGGACTTCATGTAACTGGATCATGTAACTGAAGCCAGATCCCGATTTCCA